ACTGGAATGACAAACATAGACGGACAGGAAATTAGGCAACACAGTATAACATACTGCAAAAGAAATTGGTCAAAATGATATCTGACTATATCTGATTTTCAGAAGTACATACAGTACTCTTACTTCCATTCCAAAATTAAATCTCTGAAATTAGAGCTCAACTCCCACCAATTTCAAGAGCAAGGTATTATTATTCAGTGGGAGCTTCTCAAAAGGAATGCCCAGAACCCTGCAGGATTGAGCCCACAGAACATTATCTCCCCCTTTATATTTATTCTTCCAGTAGTAAGGCATCAGATTTAGGAAGAACTAGGCAGACTAACAGCATTAAATTATGATATATTAGGCATTTACAGTAACTGAAAGCAATACTCAAAATAAAGTACTCATGTTACTCAGGTTTTCATAGTGTGTTTCCTGAATGCAAAAACCCCCTCTGAAAGTGAACTGATTTTCACCAGACTGTTTTCCTCCCCATTTGACTTCAACATGTGCAGGTTACACCTTTTTAGGCAAGCCCATGTAACACCTCAAAATACAACAAACATCATGGAGGGTTATTAATGTCTCTTTGCTGGACATACAGCTTAAGTCTCAGAGTTCTCGAGGGGGTCTGTGTGGAATAAAATTAGATTTCAACATCTGCCACCATAAGAAAAAAATTCATCTCTGGCTCCCATATGAAAACATTGTAACCAACGAACAGTTACTGAACCATGTTACCTTAATGATTATTACCCAAATCAACATTTTTTGAAACAATGAAATTAAAATTGTGCTTTCATAATTATTTGAATCAGATTATCATATTACAATTTTAATAAAATCTCAAAATGATTAAATCGGAAAAGTACTGTGTAGAGTGAAAATATATATGCAGAGGTTTCTTTTGTGTTTTGTTCTGACCTATTTTGGAGCTGGTCTGTTTAAATTTTAGCAAACAACGTGGTTAACCTCGCAAAAAGAACACAAATAGGCATATATCGTGTGTTCAAAATGTTTCTTATATTTGCATAGTGTTTTCTAAAGCTCTGCTTTTAGATCAGATATTATTGGGTAGTCTACTTAAAGTTTATTAGCCAGTCCAAACAATATAAAAAATTAACAGTTTTTGACTTTGAAATGATATGCTTTTTTCAGTTGGTTACAATTCAAAGAAATACAGGAAAGTTGCTATGACAGTTACAAAATTCTAAACCATTTAGATCCTCAGTATAAATGCACTGAATTTTTTTTTAAAATAGTGTACATTTTTAATCTAATATTCACTGTTTAGATAATGCATTGATGGGTGCTAGAGAAAATTCTAAGATAAATAGAAGATATTGAAGTAAAACCTCAAAAATAAGAAAAAAAGACAGACAACCCTCTCTACCTCCCTCCCAAATGTCTGATCATTTAATCTTACAAGCCAGATCGACCCATTTCTTCCAGGAGGCTTACGGACAGTCAAAAAAAAAATCATCACCAAAATATCACTGTTAAGAAATGAATATCACTCCCCTAAGCAACAGCAATATCACTATTATCACTCTAATCTCTCCCCCTCTCCCTTACTTTCTTGCCTTAGTTTGTATTGTAAATTCTGCTGAACTGGGATTCAGTCTTCATCTGTTTTGTAAACTGGCAGGCCCATGTATGGTCCTATATTTCCAGATTCCCTAATACAATACACTAGATATTCAGTTTTTACTTTAACCCTGCCTAAATATAGACTTCCTTAGTTTCTCTTTTAATAGGCACTTTGTTCTCCTGTGCTCTATTCAGCAGAAATATATCTGCAGTCTTCTAGGCCATGCAAGCCCCACAGCCTTGTGGATACCTGCTACTCAACAACCTAAGCTCATGAGGAGAAAAATTAGCTTGTTGCAAAAGGTCTCTCCACTAAAGATTTGTCTTTACCTTTTTGTGGAACTGCTTGGAGAAGGAGAGGTCATGTAAATGAGATCCTCACCCCATGTACTGAGCGTCCCTATCTTATACAGTGAAGTTACTCCAGCTTGTGTACAGCATCAAGAGGTCAGAGAAAAGAACAAGTTCTGACCTTTGGCCATTTATCATCCCCCAACTAAACAAATATGTAATTTGCAAGAAGGATGGGAGAAGGAAAGAGTGTTCCTGCCCAATCCAGTCCACTGGAGAGTGATGGTTAAGTGGTATCCTGCCCTAGCTCTAAAGAAAAGAATGGAACCCAATATTCTTGGTGATGCTGGAGCAATGGAGCTCCAGTCACTTTTTGCTTACAGCTGAGGGAGGATTTCAGTCTCAATAAATCCCTCTCCTTTGCGTAGTGGTCAAGCTTCATAATACAACTATAAGCTTAAAAGCTGCAGGCTTAATACACATAACTCCATTAAAATGTGTTAACAGGATGACTAACAGTCAACCACCTATGGAAGACCCACCTTTCAAGCTTCCTCAGTGCATCTCTGGATATTATTGCCATGATCCAATGTTTTACCATATTGGCAGTCCAGCTAGATAGAGCCTGTGACTCTGTCGCTGGAAGGGAATTATCTTGAGAGGCTGTTTTATATCTAAATTAACTTTATGCAGTCTGAAACAGGTGGGAAGTAACCTCCACAGTGGAAGGGGAAGAAGGTCAGGGCCACTATCTCTGGTATATTTTGTACAAGTCAATTTTAAAGTAATGCAAATAAAAATAATACTGACTTTTTTGGTATCTACTGTTATTTCCTCTGGCCATCTGTGCATTTTTAAAAGCAAACATTGGAAGGGCTATCCTTCCTGAGTAGTTTGGAATATACAGATTTAAGCAAAAATACATGTAAATGTGAAAAGGTAAAAAAACCAAAAAAAAAAAACAAACAAAAACCACACGGACTTGTATAGGAGAATCACACCATAATTCTGCTTATAATGCCAAAGAAGGCAGAGAGGTGAACAAAATGGACATTTCTCTTTAACACATAGTTTTGACATGTAAATAAAGACATCTGAAGAAGCACACAGGTTTGAAGCTGCTGTAACATTCTATCATAATTAGAAACGTTTCAAGAGCCCTGTAATTTCCAATAAAAAATTACAGTTATTTCCGATATACCAGCCATGATTCATGACAGAATTTTACATTCCATGGGAGATTATAGTGGCCTGATGTATGACATACTGAGTACAGTGCTAACATAAACAATTCAATTTAATGTTTAAACAGCACTTGGTGTTTAGAATCCCACAATAAAAGAAATATTGTAGAAATTATCACTTTGACAGTGATTTGAAGGGTAGGCAGGCATCTATATCTATATTTTTTTTTTTTTTACAGTCCACAGCTTGAGTTTAATCATTTTGATATAACATTTCCAAAATATCCCTTGAAGTAATTCTTTACAACATATAACTTAGAAAAGAACATCCATTCTCTACAATGAAATGGAACAAGTCCAAAAGGCAAATATTTCCAAAGTCAAAGTTTAAAAATTCTGAAAGAAAAAAACACTGAAGGTCCACATAAACATTCATAAACCTGATCACATTTTATCAGCAGCTTAATGGGCACTGAAAGACAGCAACTTTCTCTCAGAACCAGTTTTGGGCAGCTAAGAGAATACTTAATAATTTAGCAGACTTAAATACATTGGCAACCAGTGGTGCCTCTATTTCTTCTGTCAATGTTTTTTCTAGTGTTGGTGTTAATACGGTCTTCTTTCCCATTTTACGTCTGACCGCCCTGAACTCTACTTGAGACTTGAGCACATTCTCACTTGAGTCTTGCTTTTGAGCACACTAATGAGCTTTCTTAAGACAAGTTACTTAGAATCATCATGCAGCAATCGTCTGAGACAAACATACTGACAAGAGTATCTTATTCGCTGGTCTTCCTTCCGTTGCATAAAAGTAACAGTTCTCTTGCACTAAACTTGATATTTTATTCAATTTTTAAGAACTTGTTATAAAAACACCTAATAGCAGAGGGTTAAAATTGAACACACATTTTTGTGTGTGTAAGTACTGTGTTTCATGAAGGTTATAATTTATGTCTATCCAGGATTAATTTACATGGCTAGATATGTTACCCTTATTTCTTTTAAATTTGTAAATAATATTTCATAAAATAATTTGCCTTTTAGTTTGGAATTGTGGACTTCTGAAGCTCTAGGGTGACCATATGTCCCATTTTGGGTCGGGACAGTCTCTTTTTTAAGCCTTGTCCCGGCCATCCCGACTTTTTTTCTGCAAAAGTTGGCAAGAGCAAACTGGACAAATGCCCACTTTTGTCAAAAAAGGTGGGGTGTGGAAGAACATGAGGGGGAGGGCGCAAGTGGAGATGCCAGCCCCGTGCAGGGGGGCAGGCAGGGCTCAGGGGAGCAGCGACGCCAGCCCCGGATGGGGAAGGGAGGCCAGGCTCAGGTCAGTGGTGCGGGTCAGCCCTATGCAGAGAGAGGGGCTCAGGCAAGCAGCTCGGGCCAGCCACATTCGGTGTCCCGTTTTCTCTTTGGGAAATATGGTCACCCTATTGTTTTGCTATTTTTGCATAACAAGCAAAACGTATCTACATCCATACAGCTCCATTGTGTCCCTATTTCCTCAAAGCTCACTTCTGACACTTCTCTAGCTGATCCAATAGCTGCACTAACCACCCCCACAAAATCAAAACATCAAACTCTCTAGTTAAAACACCTGTTATTGCCAAAACTAGTCACCTGATCAACACTGCAGCAGTATAGCGCATAGAGCATTTACTCATTCACAGTCACCATGAATTTAAGAAGTTGACAATTTTGGCCCTCCAGGATCTAACCTTTGGGCAGACAACAAACCTATCTTACTGTTAGGGACAACGTCTTCGTCTTCTTTTTTCAATTCTGGCAAACAAAAGGTATCCTTTAGTTACCTTAGGACTCGGCAATAAATGTAAGTAGCTGTACTACTACATGTTGCTAACCCAACAAATAATTTAATTCATATAGAAAACCAATCACAAAGACTGTAAAAATCATATATAAAATGTAAGTTGTTGATAACTGGTGAGTCCCTACCTGGCTTTTGGTTGCTGCAACCTTTGCAAATAGTGCTTGAGACACTTTAGCTCTCTTCATTTCCTGCTGAATCTCATCATATATGGAAGCATTAATGTTCATGGTATTATTTTCTGGTTTTCCATTCCTCTCCGTTGCAACAGTAGCTGTTTTTACCTAGAAAATATTTTATGAGATTGTCATTTTTCATTATGAATGAGTGACTTTTCTCCTCAAGTAGTGTCTCTCTCCCTTGTATGCTTTTACTCAGTCCTACTCAGATTTCCTTTCATGATTCTCTTTCTTTTCAACCTTTCAGTATTTTAACATTATGAATTATCCATGGTTCAGGAAAATGGGCATTAAGAAAATCCTGCACACTGGTACAGGTGAACGTACCCAAAATAAAATGGTCAGTCAGCTGACCATTATAAATTACATCAAACAAGTTAGGTGGAAACAGCCTCACAGAGACTTTTAAATCCTGAAATGAGTCTTTCCCCCACCCCCAAACAATTAAAGTAAAAATTATAACTGCAGTGTAAAAGGATCACCAATGAAATCAAAATGCAGACAGATGTATCTTGATTGGTGACCAGTACAGTCAGTTGCATCATACAAATGTAATACAGTTGTCACTTTAGATTTAATCTTTTTATGTTTTTTCTTATGTTTATTTTTGTATCTTCTATGAAAAATCAGTTTACAACGCTGCACATTGAAATTCTCTACTCATCCATGAAATGGGAATAGGGAGGGCCTTCTCTAACTACCATAATGGCTAGTTAGTTGTACTTTACTTATGTACACCTAAACTGTTTTTCACACCACACCACACCCCATCAAGGATACAGCACAGTGTGCACCACCCCTCCGCAGAACAGGCAATGGCATTTCTCACCTGCAGATGTTCGGAGAAATGTGGGGGAAATCTGGCCTCGCTACCTCAGGACAGCATAGTTCCCTGAAGAGGTATGATGGTAATGCTTTTCTCCCCGTTGGCAGCCATAGCATAATGGGGTCACGGGCATTCAACTGAGGCCCTGAACCTGCCAGGTGATACATGCAGGCAAGGTGGACCTTTAGACCCCATAAAATCCCACTGAGGGTCAACGTAGCCACAAGGGGTCTGCTCAGATGAATCAACTTGCAGGGTCAGGACCAGAGTCTATATTATCTTGGGCTTTAAATTCCCCAAGGATGTGAAGGGAGATGATGATAGCATGATGAATAACTATAGCTCTAACCCCACTTTGCATGAGCTCTAAACTGCAGAGCCCCAAAAGGATGAGTCAAAGGGTTGGGGTAAGAGGGGGAATGCAATTTAGGTAACCCCCTTGCCCTCTGAACAAAAAAAGGACCAATTTTGTGGGTAATCCATACTATACACCTTCCAGAATAGTCTGAGTATGTTCAAATATGGTCCATAAATTAAGAGTGCACATCAGCGCCGAGGATATGCCTATGAGGCTTCTCAGCAGCAGTGCAGGTATGCGCACATTAGTTGCAACAAGAGATGCCATTGCTAAACATCATGAGCCTTCATAACAGAAAAGCATGAATGTGGTTGTATTTGCCTTCTACTGTGAGGCATGAGTGCCTCCCAGTATGAACAGTGTCTGATATTAGTATGGATGCACAACTGAAAAAAAAATGCTAAAAATGCAACTACCCCCCAGCTCTTTACAGTATATTGTGCACATTTTTATCACTAGAATTTAACTTGCACCTACAGGGTGACAGACTGAGATGCTAAGTGAGACACCAAGCTTGTGCTGACCTCACGTACAGTGATCATTTTCACCTATTGACTTTAAAGCAACTGCTGATCAGGCTGTGCTAATAACTGCTAAGAAAAACACTTGAGATGCCTGGCAATGGGCAGCATAAGCAGTAGCATTAACATTTATGCCTCATACTGCAGCATGAGAAAACCCATACCTTGTTCTCCCTGGGAGACATTCCCACTGAACTCGAACTGGGCAGAAAGAGTATAGGTATGTTCTGAGTAGCATGCAGCAAAGTTATGTGCGCACTATGGACTCTCTAACCTTTATAATTTTGAAATGTACTGAAAGGTTATCTACAACTGTGATCATGTTAAATGCATTATTGTAAGCAGCTGTCAAACTCATGCAAAAATCAGACTGAACTTTGAGACGAGAAAGCTAAAAGTGGACGGCTTTGTAGTCTAAGCATCTACACTGAAATACTGGGATTCCCTGGGACCATCAGTTCAAATCTTATCAAGGTTGTCATCATACTTCTGAGGCATGCAAAAATTCATGGGAGCAGTTGTGGAACAAAATAAAGAAGTCCTGTCTACTCTGCACGGTCATTAATGCTTCCATGACAGGTTTTTGTATGAGGACCAATTTGCCTCTGTGGCCTTGATCACAATTTCCACTGTTCTGCAGCGTGCTGGCTGGCTGCCACTCTAAAGGTGGCTACATAGTGCATTGGTGCTTTAGGATATTACCGCAGACACTACTCAATCAGTGCAGCGTACTGAAAGAACCCTCAGCAAAATCTGAGGGAAATATAGGATGTAGAGGGATACATGAATTAGTAAGGGTAAATGCTTAATACTACAGTGACAGGAGCTACTGAAAACCCTAATGCTAACAGATAGACTGTGCCTATCTTTATGTTGGTGCAGCACAATACTGACTATGGGCCTGATCCAAAGCCCACTGAAGTCCACGGAAAGACTTCTGTTGACTCCAGTGGACTTTATTCTCTATTATTCAGCACTTGATCCACTGACAGCTAAGTAAAATATTATATGAGCCCAAATTAATGTTCGGAGAAAGCAAACACGACACTTCTGGGTATAAAATGATCGATCTTTGGGGCTGGAGGGAAATTTTATCCCCCAACAACCCTCACCCCTCCAAACTTGCATAATGAGTCAAGTGCAAAAAATGTTCCCCTGGCTCCTTAACAATTTCTCTTGAAACATCAGATGTAGACTATGGCTGGATTAGATGGACCACTGGTTTGTCGAATACTAAGTAACACTGCCAATTAACCTTTTGGAAGATATTCATTTAGAAAAATTATTTCATAATGTATATAGCAACCTTCTAGTCTAATCTTGAAGTGTGACATTCTATAAATCTATTCAGAAGAGAAAGGTTTCATTAGATTCAGCTCTTTTTTGAGATAAGCTTTTGTGCTGGAGTTGGACCTGAACTCAAGGCACAAACATTTTCATTCTGGGGGGGAAAATGTGATGTGTTGGGGAAGGGAAAGAGCATCTCCTTTGGAATAAGCTTTTATAAATTAACCACAACTTCCACTTAAAAAAAAAAATCAAGATCAATTTAATGTCGCTAAATATCAGCTAATCATTTTAAAATGGTAACCAAGTTATGCTTACACTTGAGGGTGAAAAATATTTTACCACAATGTTTAATATCACAAGACTATTCTCCTTCTCCCCCCACATTAGTCATTTCAAAAATATTTGGAAAAAAACTTCATCCTTCCCAACTAGTCTGCCCAGATAGATATCTCATCACATGAGATTGATTACAGTCATGAGAAGTTCTGGAATCATTCACTTTTCCCAAACAAAGCACAAGGTGTTGATGGAGTAACCACTCTGAACAGGTTTTCACAAATTATGAAGTCTTCCCCCCCCTCCCCCTCTTAGGCAAAAATCGAAACAAAAATCTTTTATGACACATTCTCATAAGTACTGTTTTAGCTTAGGGAGAAAACCCTTCTTTAATCCTGGTTTAGCTTTTAATATTACATCGTACATTAAAATTCATGAAGTAGTTCATTCCAGGCAAAACAAACTACTTTTCAGGTCTGCTCTGGAAATAGCACAGGAGGTATAATAAATGCAGTTGCTTTCAGAACTGCTTTTATCAGGACAAGGTTTACTACATCATTATTATAGTGGCGCCTGGAAGCAGAGCCCTAGTTAAGTGTCAGTGTTCCCATTAATTCTCTTCCATGGTGGTTTTCGTAGGGGTAGAGGGTTTCCTTTAATATTTTGTTCATTTTGATTTTAAGAAAAATGAAACTTGGCACAAAGATTATCAATGTAAATCAGATCATTTTTATTTAAAGATGGGCCAAAAAGTGTAAGTTTCACCAGTCGTTAAATGTGGCCTGATGTTTTTCTGGCATGCTTAGCACCCACAGGATGCACTGAAGTTAATGGAAGTAGAAAGTATCCCGTGCCTCCTGAAATGCAGGTCCAGCTTTCTCTAAACCAGAAAACCTGAGTCCTGTTCAGCCTTTCAAGTTTAAAGAGTGGGCTCAGAGAGACAAGGTGGGTGAGGTAATATCTTTTATTGGACCACCTTCTGCTGGTGGAAGAGACAAGCTTTAGAGCCTCACAGAGCTCTTCTTCAGGTCTGGAGAAGGAAACCAGAGTGTTCAAGGTAAGTATGAAGTGGGACAGATTAAGTGTAAAACAACAGATGGCTAGTAGGTAGCAGGGGGTGTCACAAGTTGCTGTAATGGACCATAAACCCAGTGTCCCTGTTAAGTCCATGGTTTTTAGTGTGTAGTAGAGTTGTGAATTTAAGTTCTTCGGCTGGTCTTTTGAAGGCCCTGCAGGTTTTCCTTAAGGACAAGTTCTGTGAGAGGTCAGAGATTGACTGATCACTTCGTGAAAAGTGTTGGTTAACCTGTCACAGAGCGTTTTAGTCTTTTTTGTGCGAGTTCATTAAAGAGCATAGTGATTGTCTGGTTTCACCCCACAGGGCTTGTCTTCACTGGCAATTAACAGCGCTGCAACTTTCTCGCTCAGCGGGTGACAAAACACCCCCCTGAGCGCAGCAAGTTGCAGCGCTGTAAAGTGCTCGTGTAAACAATGCCTCAGCGCTGGGAGCTACGCCCCTCATGGAGGTAGTCTTTTTAAAGTGTTGTGAGAGCTCTCTTCCAGCGCTGTGCCGCAGCCACACAAGGCACGTTAAAGTGCTGTCGCGGTTGCCAGTGTAGACTAGTCCATAGTGGTTATTGGGGCATTTGATGCAAGCCTGGGAACTTAAATTCACAACTCGGTTGGACACTAAACACCATGGATTTAACAGAGACACTGGTTTTATGAAAAGGAGTACTTGTGGCACCTTAGAGACTAACCAATTTATTTGAGCATGAGCTTTCGTGAGCTACAGCTCACTTCATCTCATGCTCAAATAAATTGGTTAGTCTCT